GTCGGTTTGGGTTTAGGGCTTTGGGTTTAGAGTTTGGGGGTTTTAGTCGGTTTTGGTTTAGGGTTTAGGGCTTAGGGGTTTAGGGTTTAGGGGTTTCGGGTTTAGGGTTTATGGGTTTAGGAGTTTAGGGGTTTAGGGGTTTAGAGTTTAGGGTTTAGGGGTTTAGGGGTTTAGGCTTTAGGGCTTCAGCGTCAAGTACTGGGGAGTAAGACTATTTCTGGACGTGACCATCCCCTACGGTTTAGGGTTGGGTTTAGGGTCTAGGTTTTGAAATCAGCGGTTTGCATTGCATACTACACTAGGAACCCTCCGTCCTGGAAGTCTCGGCGCGTCCGAGGTCAAAGCGTTACGCCGGTTGCGGACGATGCTTGGTCGTTGTTCAACAGCATTCTACAGTTAGGCCCAAGATCCCTAAGACCCTAAAGCCCTGAACCCTAAAACCCTAAGCCCTAAACCCCAAATCCCTTCCTATATCCGGAACCCCACGTGCAGATCCTTATTGTACAAAAACTCGGGAGTGTGTCTCAAACGTGGCGAAGTTTGTTGTCAGGAACTCGTCACCTTAGCCCGAGCCCTCCCGAATCCTTGGCTCCCTACAACCTCCAAGCAGCCCCAAGGAATCATCTTAGACCCTAATGCGCCGAACACTAAACCCTGGACCCCAGACCTCGAACCCCTAAACCCTAAACCCGACGAGCTAAACCCTAAACCCTAAACCCCAACCCCTAAACCCTACACTTACGCCCTTGACGCCGAGGATGATCTTCTCAATCCTGAACTCATTCGTCGATCTCCTCTGGGCGATCGTAGTGGTACTCTGCTACCCATTTAAGGGGGGGGTGGGGGTTTAGGGTTTAGGGTTAAGGGGGGGGTTCAGGGTCCCTTTTGAGGGCTTCGTCAGGGGATCTATAGGGGGGGTATCTGTAAGGGTTCTAAAAGGGGTCTAATGGGGTCTCGGTATCTTGGCTACGTCTAGGGCTTGGGGGTTTAGGGCCTCTTGGCTTCTCTGATGTCACTTTATCTCACGAGTTTTTCGGGTTTTAGCGTTTAGTGTAAACCCTAAACCCTAAACCCGAAACCTTAAACCCTAAACCTCTGAGGGCTTGAAGATTCTTGGGGTCGGGGGGAGGGTTTTCTTTTGCCTGGGTTCCTCTTCATGGGGGTGCGTCTGGCCATGGAGGCTGTCTCTTCTTGGGGTCAAGCTGGGCCCCGAAACCCCAATGCTGAGGTTGGGTTTAGGGCCCTAAACCCTAAACCCTAAATCTAAACCCTATATGAACCCTAAACCCTAAACCCTATATAAACCCTAAACCCTAAAGTTTCAGGTTCCCTCAAATCCTCGGCCTTCCTTCCCCTTGCGTGCAGCCCAGGTGATTTTGATTATCTACATCTTTAGCATCATTTTCAGCAACGCCGTCGCGTTGTACTTCGATGAGGCGGGGAGTTCCACCCCCTAAAGGAAAAAACTTGAGCCGCTGAACCCGGCACCCCCAAAAACCCTAGACGGTAAACCCAAAACCCAAAACCCTAAACCCTAAAGCCTAAGGCCTAAAGCCCTGTGAGGTGCACATGGGACTTGAGGATTTGGACAGCGGCAACAAGACACTGGTCATACAGCAGGCAGCAGACGTCTGGACCCGAGCCATCTCAGTTTCTTTAGGGTTTCGGGCGGAGTTGTGGGTTGAGGGTGTAGACTTCCCAAACCTTGAATGCTAACACCTTAAACCCCAAACCCTAAAACCCTAAACCCCAAACCCTGCACCCTACTGTAAGCCGTAAGCCCCAACACCCTAAACCCTAAACCCTAAACCCTAAACCCTAAACCCTAAACCCTGCACCCCTCTGGTGCCAAAGGTGAACATGGAATTCGGGGACCTCTACAGTTCCATACTCGCTCTCTGGTCCGCTGTGAGCGGCGGAAATGCCCCTGAGCCGCAGCACAAAGTCACAAGGTCAGGAACCGGTTAAGGGATTAGGGTTTCGGCTCTCTGACTTGACTTGTGGAAGTTTTCACATGGGTAGTTCTCAAGATTAGGGGACCTTTTTAGGTTCCCGGAAATAGTACGGCACCCTTATAAAAACGACCCTAACAGGGACCCTAATTTAAAGAACTTCACATATGTCTCCTGGAGTGCCCAAGGACTGGATGATGTATGGTTCTCTGCTGAGCATCTCTGCAGCACTTTCACAAAGCCTGAAATGGGTGGAGAGTTTAGGGTCTAGGGTTTAGGGCTCCAGGTGGGACAGGTCTCTGACACTTTGGCGCATCTCGAAAGCCTGAGCTGCCTTAAACCCTAGCCCGAGTGCGCCGGAGATCAGGAGGCATAAGCCACGGCGAGCTTTACTTCGTGATCTTCAACTTCTACATCGCGCCTCCTGGTGGCAGGAGCTTTGTCTCTTTGTGAGACCATGTTCGGAGTCGACTCGCCGCAATGAAAACAGAACCCTACACCCCAAACGCTATGCCCTCGCCTGCAAATGCCAGGCCTTAAACTTTCAATCCTACATCTGGAGCCCGAAGCCCTAAACGTGAGACACACTAAGCCCTAAACCCTGAATCCTGACCCCAATGTTGTGCCCAGCCGATTGTGTGCCAGTGGTTGCTGTGTGTAGGAGCTTCGTGGGCCAGTAGAAATAATGTAGGAGCCTTAATATTTAGAATGGGGTTTTGGGGTATATCGGTATATTATACTATAATTATAGTAAGGAAGCCCCAAAACCCCTATTCTAACCAGTAAGGCTCCTACATCAGGATCCCAAATGCTAACATAGATATTCCTGCTAGAATTCTACATTGCTGCATCTTCTCCTCCTGTACCACTTGCAAGATTGCAGCCCCAATGCCTATTCCAACTATGTTTGTACTCGTTTGGTTTGGTTTCGAATGAAAAGCAACAGAACGACTCAAAACCGTAAGCAGCCCCAC